GAATGACGCGAGATGTCCTACTTGCAACCGAACGACGAATGTAACCTAGAATCCTGTTGCATTTGGCCACCATCGCTTGCGCATGCGAGGAAAACTTGAGGTCCTCGTCGATAGAAACTCCTAAATCTCTCTCTCCGTTTGCCTCATCCAATTCAACATCGCCGAACGTGTCGAGAGACCTACCGTTGTTTCCACCGACGTGGAGAACTGTACGCTTACTTTTATTAAACCTCATGAACCACATCTTGCTCCACTCGTCCAAAAGACTTAAATCTCGCTCGGCTCTACCCCTATCCGCCTCCCCCCTTATGGTAAAACCTATTTTGCTGTCATCGGCAAATTTACTTATCTTACCCTCTACGCCGAGATCGAAATCGTGTATGTAGCCCAAAAATAGAAGCGGTCCAAGGACCGAGCCTTGAGGGACACCGCTTGCCACTCCGACCTCCTGCGACGCTTCCCCATTTATCACCAGAGGTTGTTCTCTTCCTGTCAACCAGCTACTGATCCACTCGCTAGTCCTACCTTGGATCCAGTGCGCCTCCAGTTTAACCCGCAACCTTTTGTGAGGAACGGTATCAAAAGCTTTCGCGAAATCTAAATAGACTATGTCCACGGGATTGAGGCTATATAACGTTACAACTCCAGTTTACATTGTTCATACTGCACTAGCTTCAGTTTCAAGATTGACCCACTTATCATGATGTTCGCACTTCTTTGGACCTCGAACTATTTTATACTTTAGTAAGGCTTCGTCGATGTCATCTCGATATATTAATACCTAGGAAGTTTCTTGTTTTGTGACATGTTCTCGTAAGAACGGACGAAGCTGTCACGATTTTCCGAAATTATAGAAACAGAAGAACAGATGTCCATGTTCGCGAGCGACGTTAGCTTTACTTCGAGTCCTTTCTATTAAACCAATCAAGCGCGCTTTCCTTTCGTTTTTCGTTGGCTATGTTGTCAACGAGAAATGCACATGGCGACTGAAGATAAGGTGATCTTAGTTACTGGGGATTATCCCTCCCTAACATTGCTCCTGCCACACCCACATGACTCTGAAGGAATGCCAAATCCAGGAAATATAAAGTGTGACGTAACAAGTGATCCATATCAATTGGTCACCTGTCCCGTTCCAGATTCGAGGGTTAAGGCAGGTCCGCCAGACAGAAATTCTGGAGAAATGGAAACCCTCGTGATCTTTCCAAGTAAATTACTTAACTTTATTAAAATAAAGACACTAATGAAATATCAAAATAAAAAAATAAAGGAAATAAGGAAAACACAGTTCTTCACAATACTTGTTAAAGAATTTAAGTTATTACTTAATATTGGATGGGAGAAGGATCCAACTGGGGCAAATTCTACTTGAATTTGCAGGTTAATTATATTACTGTTCTCTCTCTCTCTAAGTTACTCTAACTTTAACTTGGGCCACACACCTCACACAACCAAGGGACAGGGCTAACCTTTACGCTGGTAGGTTGTCCTGGAGTCAGCTCCGGATATGGTAAGGTCACAATGGTGCCTTCCAAATAGCGACTGACTCCAGGATCCAAGTCTCCGGCTAATATCCTCGATACCTCTGGGAGGAGCCAGGGTACCTTCCTCCAAAATCCGAGGTTCGGATTGGATATTCGACTTGGCCCCCTTTTGTCCCATTGGCTACCTTTTTGGTGTTGGCCCCGACTTAATTTATTTAAAGTCATCACGATGGTGTGACTTGCTCATTATCTTAATGGGTTTGGTTTTATGTGTTTGCCCCAGTTGGTTACAGGGTTGTCCCATCCCTACACTGATAACATTTCATTATTCTTACTTTATACTGAGTATTAGACAAAATCAGGTATTTTTCCTTAATTCCTTATAATATGGTCAGTAATTAAGTCATCAAATCAGACTGAAAGAATCAAAACACTTTCCTTCAATATGCAATATTAGGATTAACAATATACCACATGAAAGCCAATTTCTCAAAGGTTATTTAAAAAAAATTAACATTGTTTCATTTCATTACAACAGACCATTAGGAAGGGAAGAGAAAGGTGGGGAAAATATTAGAGTAGAAAAGGATGAGATTCCTGCAACTCTCTTTTCAACACCTCAGGAGGAGTAAACAGTATATTTCCTCCTCTTCTTTTGTAAAAGGGCGGAAGACCCCGTTCTTCACAAAAGTTATGGCTCGCGAACGCTAATTTTTCCGATGACGGATTAGGGACATGAACGTTCTCCATTTCGTCTGTGGGACCTTCAATGGACTTCGTTATAACCGAGGTCTACTGGATACCCCTAATGATATAAATTAGACTTTTTTTTAAATCGAGAATAAGACTTACATGAAATGCGCCTGGCCTTGGAAAAACGATAAGGGAAGTACCTTCATCATTTCGCTTTCACTGACAGCCTTATTCTCTCGCCTTGTTCAGTGCGATACAAATGAGAGTGAACGTTCTCGTTCATCGACAGCTCTAGTGGTTTTCGTCTGATTAACACTCCTTCAAATCCGTGATAATTGGCACGAAATTCAATGATGATCTGTTAGAGCTCTAAGAGAAGACCAACTCTCCAACAACACAGTGTTCCCGCGTGTGGGGGGGGGGGGGCAAACCCCACCCAAGCGATATCAGGGGGAAAAATTATCATCTCTAAGGGGACGCCAGACTCGGTCACAGGGGCACCAAGGGGGCAGCTACTCCCCCCTTCCCCCCCATCCTGACCCCCTTAAAGTACGCCACTGCGAACGATGCATCTAAAAAAAATAGTGCAAATTCGTGGCCAATAATGCCCAGTGCAATTCTCGATGCCACGGGTCATAGACGTGTTCCAACAAATGAATCAAAAAGGTGTGCTTAACAGAAAGGCTTGAATGCATACATCGACAAAGTTGTTGACAAAGGATTCTTTAATCATGGACAATTTGGCATCACGAAGCAGTTACTCCATTTATTCATTAGAGTGGTCAAATTAATTCATATAATGGTGTTTGACACGCTAGCTCGAAAATAAAGCAAGTGCCGGTGGCCGAAGGCATTATCTGGATCATTATTCTGGCCGAAATGAAGTGCTTCTCTGAACTTGCATGAAAATCTGCAATCCGGGTTAAGATGAACAAGGGTTTCCCCATGCAAGTTCAACCTACACGCAGTGGTGGACTGTTCAATTTAACCCACCACGATTTGGCCGTGGAAGTTCAACTTTCACAGCGGGGTCAACTTGCATGCGACATATATATCAAATATATTACAGAATCCTTTACGATTTTCCCGTAAGGGTGTACATGAGAATAAATTGACTTTGTTTCCCTCATCAGAATGGAAACTTAAAAACAACACAATAATACAAATAAAATAATTAATTGGACAAGGCCACTACATTCACATTTTCTTTTGAAGTTTTACTCCTGAGATAGAAAGGGCCTGATTCAAGGGAACAAACTGGAGTCTTAATTGGGATCTGATACTGGCAATCCTGCTCGTGCTACTTACAATCTTGCATATAAACATATCCTTCAAAATGGTAAAATATGTCTATAACGTTACTTCCTATTTAAAAAAGACCCTATCTCAGTTACGGAGCTGCCTAGAAACTTCATATTCGGCATAGATGATGTATGGCCTATGGGATTTATGACAGCAGAATTTCTAAAGGTTTCCAAAAAGTTTCTGGACATCACACTAGGTGTTCCGGCTAAACACACGGTCCAAAGTTGGCACATATACCAATATCTGCGTGAATGGCACGATCAAACCTGCAGGTATTCGATGTGACCGCCCCCTGCCACTACCACTGCCTCCATCCATGTAATGAAGTGGTAGACGACAGGAAGTAGTCAGACAGCGTCAGTGGAGCTGAAGGAATGCATGGCGGTGCCATGCTTTGCCAGATTCTAAGTTCGCAGTACGTCCACCGTAAACTCCACTGCCAGAATTCAGGAAATTCCACAGCCAGAAGTCCGCAGATAGACCGGTGACCTTGGCGGCCAGGCCTATGGGAAAGCCCTGCTGATCAAACGGTATTACGCTAGAGAAGGAACTGAACACGTCCCCCAAAGTGTGGAGGGATCTATGTCTCTGGCCAGCACAGCGCCGCTCTGGTGGTGATATCCAGAAACCTTTGGAAACTTGGCTAAATCCCATCGATTGTACATGATCTGTGCCGAATATGAAGTTTCTAGGCCTCTCCGTAATGGAGAAAGGACCTTTAGGGAAGTAACTTCATGAACACCCTGTATGGGCTATAGTGTTAAATACTGATGAGGAAGTATCACTTGCAGTACATCCACTGTGTCGTCTATCACCGTGACAGGTTTCAGCATTAGCAGTTTGAGCTGCCTATATGATGCTGTAAGTATTCGACCAAATGGGTCATACATCGATCAGTGTAGAGTGCGTTGTTTCTCCATCTTCCCTTGCACAGAGGTACCAGCTGGGGGAAAATGCACAAGGGCATCAAATTGTCTTAGTAATGCCAACTGCACTGGAGAGCCTGGGAAATGCACGTGTGACCCCGAATATGTGGAAGAAAACGGATTATGCAGAGTCAACCATTCTTCCCTTTTCGTTACCATTCTACAGTCCTGTTCCAAATGAGGCTGTTTTTTTTTCGAGCTGCAATCAAGGATATGCCATATTCACAGTCCACGTGTCCTTGAGATGACGTCGCCTTAATTTGATGCATCAGATCTATATCGAATATGAAGTTAGAGACCATTCAATGCTTTAATGTTTGATATGCGTTTCTCGAAAAAAATATCGCAACTAATAATCGATCTAAACCACAAAAAATATAGATATAACCGTTTGCTTAAGAAAAAGCTTTCCTGCAACGGAATTTTTCCTTTTTACTCCTACTTTCAGGCATGTGAGTACGTTGCAGCACTGCACAATGATTATACATGAATGAGTGAAAATAGAGAAATAATGCAAATTTAAAAGAAGTATTCCCAGATAGGCCAAACCCAGCCTACATTCGAAGTCGGGCTATCATGCAGCAGGAAAATAGGTCGCATGAACGTGCCAAGGTCCAACGTCAACTGTCCCGGCACTTATGAAACGCTTTGATTATCCAATGCAATGAAAGAACCAATGGGCTGGGGTATATCAATTCTAGCCCCATTTGCACATGCAATGGGAGATGGTCAATTTCAGATCCGAAACATGCGTTTTAAACGTGGACGAAGCGACAGTCTCTCAAAGGATGAAAAGAGAATGCAGCAGCCTCGCGCATGCGCCCCTGTTGCCTGTATAAAGAGAGGCTCCTCGCCTCTGGCCACGTTTTTACTAAAAATTTTGAGTTCCCTCACTTGTAATGAGAGCAGATCGAAGCTGCAGCAAATCGCTTGTCCAAATTTATTGATCTGCTTGTGAATTCAGAGAAACTGATTTAGGGGTAGAGATCGAATCTGCGGTGCGTGCTCGGCGTAATAATGAAAATGCCGGTGTCCGATCCTCGTTCTTCCGGGGATTGGACCATTTTTTGTGTTTAAGAGGTGCCAACTGGAGGGGGATGCACAGACACAACAGAGTGCGTGAGTCATGCCGAATGCAATGGAGATCCTAGCGGAAACTGCACCTGCAAGCAAGGATATGTGGCTGGAAGTGGTTACTGCAGTGAGTATATTCACCCCTAGGAGTCCCTCTGGTTTTTAATGAAAAAACGGCTCCATGTGTACATTACATGGATCCTAAGCAAATTTGTTTGGCCTGTCACTCATTCAGGATATTTTTTACCTATAAAGACATCCATCGGCAATAATGTTATCCATTACCTAGATGTGAGATTACTCATACTGGGAAACACGAGTTTTTCCTTTTTGTTTTCTTATAGAAGTGAAAGTTGGAGAGAACTGTACATTTACAACAGATTGCTCGTCGAATGCAGAATGCTCTGAGGGTAAATGTAACTGCACCGAGGGACACGTGGAAGAACATGGAGAATGCAGTGAGTCAGCGTCATTATTTCCTCGCTACATGATTTCCAAATGTTGCATGTAAAAATTGGTTTGAGGAAATTCTGGTCACTCTTCATCTGTGCGGAGGTGGGAGCAAGAGGTGTCTTCATTAATACAGGGTGGCTCAAAGAATTAGCACATGAACTAATGTGAAAACCAGTTTGCAATGGCTTTCCCTATATTCAATCCCCCGTTTTCTTAGCCCCTCTGTAATTGAGAGCACGTAGAATGACAGCCGCTAAGAAAGATGGGTATGAAAGCAGGATCATGTTTGTTACACCATCACCCTTAATACCTGTTGGTGAAAGACATCTCGTACCGTCTTTGATGCCTTAGGCTTCTTTTACGTGACGTGTGGGAAAAATACATAGAGAAATTCGCATTTCATTACTAAACTCCTTCTAGATGTTCTTTGTGGGCGATAAGTACGACCCATCCGACCACATTTAAATTGGGATGTTTAGTAAGTTTCCTCTGTGAATTTTAAACCCACGTCCTTGAAACTAACATGAATTTCATAACGCACTAATACGAGTATGATTACCAAATCTCATGACGATCGCTCAACTCCTTCTTGGCCTTACTTTTTTTTGGCGCTGAGTATATCTAGTGGATTCGAACTGAACAGACAGGCACAGCAGCTGAAATTTAAAAAGCACCGTATGTTATCTGCAAGGGTTCTATGGAGAATTTAAGGTCAGTCACACATTCATAGTTCTACATTTCTTGTGGACTTCCTTTCTTGAAATGAAAGAAAAAACCACTTATGGTCCTGTCCTGTCCGTCTGTGTCCATCTGTTCACACTTTGGTTGTCTGAAGATAACTACGAAAATATCAGCCTCACCATTGCGAAAATTGGCCGGCAGGTAGATGTGAACAAGATACAGGCTGAGTTTGTTTTTTGGAAAATTTGCCCCAAAATTGTCATTTGTATCGCGAATTTTGGATTTGAAATTTGCTCAAGGCATGGATGGCATGAGTTCCCCCAAGAGCCCTTAAGAATCTGGACCCCATTGTGTATGCGCGTGCGATCAAGGTCTTCGGCGTGGTGCCGTGTCTCAAACCAGTGCTGTGTGTTTTCTACTAGCCTTCGTGGCGGGTGAATCGACCCACGCACAACCCTCAAACTTCCCATTATCATTTCAGAGGCACCATGAGTAAATTTGCAACATCTAACTGAGAAATTATATTTTCGATGGTCGAGGATTGGAAATATATGGGAAATTTTGCTGAAGCAGGTGACAAAATGAGAGTCTCCTTAAGAAAAGGTCAAATACTGGACTGGGCTTGCGGACCTTGTTACATATGGGCATCAGTAGGCAATAACTTAATTCATCACATACACTGAGAGAAAAAGCCGTCCATATGTTCAGCACCATCTGCTTTGGGACTAATTTTCTCTGTATATGTTAATTGAATTGCTCTGTGCGACATATCCTCTGTATCCAAACTCTTCTTCCATAAAAGTGCCTAAAGTTTCAACGGAATACATGCAGCGGTTATGGAGAAATCTCAACTGAAAGCAAATTACTGCATTCGGACAGTTTTGTCCCTGGTGCCCTAGTCCCGTCTCGCGCATGGGTCCGCGTCTCGCGTCGAGTTCCACGTTTCACGTGGAACTCGACGAATTATTCAGAGAATCACGAATTTGTATGCACTAAGGTTGGGCGAATATTTTGCGTTCGTCAGGTGCTTAGATGAGCTCGTGGCCTATAGTTTAGAAGCCGTCCTCTTCTAGGGCTGTCTTCATTCTTCAGTGACATTCTTGAATACAGTCATCATGCGTCCACTTTCTGACGTCCTCTCGCTTCTCCACGAGGACCATAGTCCCAGGGAGATAACCAAGCGATGCAACGTCGGTGGATTGTCTGTTCAGAAGATCCAGAAACAGCATTTTCCTGTCCGCACAGGGTCGAAAGGCAGTTGTCCCCAGAAGCTCTCATTTCAAGACAAGCGGTTCTGTGTCCGTACTATTTCCTCTGGGAAGCTGTAAACAGCCACACAGGTCACCAACAAGCTTAGGAATGACGCTGGAGTTGAGGTTAGCGTGGAGACCATTCGCCGCACCCTCCACGAAGCCGGTTTAAGTGCAATAGAGAGTAATGAAAAACCGAAACTTTCGCAGCAAATATCAAGGCCCACTTGGAGTTAGCCAGAAGCCTCATGGGTTGGACGATTGATGACTGCAAGCGAATCATTTGGTCGGATGAGACCAAGATCAACCGTTTTGGCTCAGATGGACGCGCCTGGTGCTGGAAGCGTGAGGGAGAACGCCGGAGAGCTCGATACGTCAAGCAGACTGTCAAGCACGGAGGCAACTCAATCATGATCTGGGGCTGCATGACGGTCATGGGAACCGGCCACATATGCAAGTTCAACGGAACCATGGATCAGCAACTCCACAGATCCATCCTGGAGGACGAATTGCTGCAAACGATCGACTGGTATGATCTTGACGTCAACAGAGTTATTTTCCTGCATGAAGGCGACCCAAAACATAAGGGGAAGAGGTTCCAACAATGGCTGAATCAACAGCCGTTCGGGGTCCTCGAGTTGCCAGCTCAGTCTCCAGACCTAAACCCCATCGAGCATCTCTGGGCACACCTCAAGCGGCGCCTTAAGTCAGGTTTAAGTCAGGTTAAATCCAACAATGGAATGCTAGAGGTGTGTGAGCGGATCCGAGCAGAGTGGAACAAAATCGAGCAAGAAACATGTCGGAGATTAGTGGAAAGCATGCCTAGGCGACTTGAGGGATGGGGACAGAATATTGAATTTCTTGAGTAGGGGAATCATGTTTTGGCACTGAGGGCAAAACGGGATGGATTCTAATGAAACTTTAGACACTTATTGAGGAAGAGTTTGGCTAAAAAGGATGGGCCGCACAGAGTAATTCAATTAACGTATACGGAGATAATTGGTCCCAAAGCGGATGGTGCCGAACATGCGGACAATATTGTCCCTCCGTGTAGATGCGAGATGACTCATACTGGGAAATACGAGTTTCTCCTATTTGTTTCTTAGAAGTGGAAGTTGGTGAGAACTGCACAATTTCAAAAGATTGCTCGTCGAATGCAGAATGCACTGAGGGTAAATGCAACTGTACCGCGGGACACGTGGAAGAACATGGAGAATGCAGTGAGTCAGCGTCATTATTTCCTTGCTACATGTATTTCCAAATTTTGCATGTGAAAATCGGTTTGAGGAAACTCTGGCCACTCTTCGTCCGTGCAGAGGTTGGAACTGAAGGGTTTTATTTATATAGGGTAGAATTTCATAATTTCGTATTCAACTGCAAGAAAAATCTCAAATTTATTTTGCTGTTCAATAAATGCAAAGAATAGTGTGGTTAGATTAGAACTACTTTCAGCCCTTTGAGCCTGGAAATTCGAGTATATGCAAAATAATAGGCAAACACGGCAGCTTAAAATGCATGTTAGAGTGCAGTTTAATCGAGTTTTCAGCTTGGAACGGGGAGCTTAACTGAATAAGGACTCAATGAGGCCATGCAATTATTGGTGCAGCACTTGCCAGTTCGATGGAAATGGTGAAATGGTGAATGCGGGCGGACAGAATGCATTTTTCCATGAGGACATTCCTGTGCGAAAGTAAAAACAGCAGCTTGACATCATTGTGTGTATAGAAGACGATAAAGAACAGCAGTGCCATTTTAGCACTGGAAATGGAATAATTGCCTGTTAGAGAACGTTTCCTATGTGAACACTACTTCTTTCCAAAAAGAAAGTGGCCCTAACAAGATGCTATAGTACTGATTCCCTAACCGACTCGCAACAATGACGGAGTCTTGCGCATCTGACGGAGACTCTTCAAGGCACTTGGCTTGTCGAACACGTTGTATCTAATTTTATAGTGTGAATGCTCTCGCACGGTTCAGATAGGACAAAATGCCTATGTTGCCATTTTTAATAGATGTTTTGACGGTGCTTATGCAAGGCTTGCCTTTGACGTTTTACTCGCAGGACTCCCCATGCTGGGTGAAAACTGCACAAACACCACAGGATGTGCGACGGAATATGCAGAATGTGCAGCTGGTACGTCGGGGAACATGATCTGCAATTGCAAGAATGGATATGTACTTGTAGGAACAGAATGCAGTGAGTATAAAACATTCAGAACATTTGATCAAGCTTGCATTGTTCCATGTGCGTGAACCTTGAACTGTCTTATGTGGGCAAAGTTTTACAAGTCTGCTTCACAAGCGTTCCACATGAATTTTCCATCATTGACGCATTTTATTCCCTTCAACATCTGTATCATACATATTGCACGATCTGAGGTCGCAAAATGTATTTGTTTGATGCCATCTCACAGGCACAGAACAGTGTAACCTCCACCCCTGACAAGTACAAGTTCTTAAACCTGATGTGTTGTAAGAGACATCCTAGCAGCAGTATTCCCCAAGGGGCCACAGAGCCTCACCCTCGTCCCAGACAGTGTTTGAAACTCATGGGGTACGCACTTAGTAGTCTATGTGCTGCATACATATCTTTTCACACTGTCTCATAGCATTTGTGTTGCGAGATGTAATAGTCCTAGCGCATGCAGCAGGTCATTGTAACAGTTGATCAGTCTTGGTCGAGCGTTCGTAGCGTGAGGACGTGTTGGAGGATACTCTCGAGGATCTGTCAGCTAAGTCGTGAGTTAGTTGTTACCTGGCTACTTTGTAGCAGTATTCATAAGTTTTCTGATAGCTACCTCCAACTTCACATTAGGTCAGTATCAATCAGCTTAATTACTTTAAGTATTAGCACATTACTCGTAGTATTCCTTTTACTACAAGGACGAGGACATTACAGTCTTACCGGGTTACAACTAGTGTGAAGTACTGCAAAGTACAAGTCTAAAGCAGTAGGAGTGTCAATAAGGATCAATAACATTAAGTAAGTAAGATGCCTAGGATGTGTAGATGCGTTCGTTGCGGGGATTGGGTAGGTGGGACTAGTCAACGAGAGGTATGCCAGGTATGCAGAGTTTGTAGCTTGGAGGAGCGACTAGGGGAGCTATCGGGAAGGCTCATTAGCGTGGAGGAGGAGATAAGGGGGATCAGGAAGGAGGTGGGCGAGGTACAGAGGGATGATTTAGTGGCGAGGCTAGTTAGGGTGGAGGAGGCACTCCGGGGGTTCCCCAGCCTTCCGGACTTTTCTGGGAGGGTGGCCCTTTCGTCCTTTGACAGCGCGTCGAGTGCCGACTCCCAGATGGCTAGTAATTGGGCTCAGGTCGTAAAAGGGGCGAAGGTTAAGCGATCCCAGGAGGCAGTCATTAAGACCGAAAACAAGTTTCTCGGGTTGAGGGAGGTCAGCTTGGATGAGGGAACGGAGGGCGGGGTGGGAACAGGTGTGAGGTCGGCAGGACAAGCTCAGGCCGTGTTGAAAGGGAGAGGGAAAACTCGGGCCCTTGTAATCGTCGGTGACTCGAACGTCAGGCGTCTTGAGGGAGCGATGGAAAAAGATTCAGGAGCTCAGGTTTCTTTCAGTCAGTTTCCCGGTGCTAGGATCGAACACATTAGGGATAGGATCGGATCGGTGGTGTGCTCCGAGTCGGCCGAGGAAGTGTCGGTGGTCCTTCACGTAGGGACCAACGATACTCCCAAGTCTGGCTCTGAA